GAATCTCAGAATCTAATTTTAGCCAGACACTCCCAGCCTTCCTTCCTACTGTGAGCAGAGCCTGAAAGGGTGGGAGCTGCCCAGCCTGTCTGGGCTCCTGCTCTGATGGAGGTGCCCACAGGCAGAGAGTGACAGCAACCAGCCTTGGACAAAGCTGTGGGGAACTCAGCAGACAGAACCTCTCACTCACAAATGAAGGGCTTTGCTTTGCTTAGCTGCAAGGGGTTCTGGGTCTGCCCCACCCCCAGCCCTTGTGGATGAGACTAGGGCTGAGGCCTGATAGTGACAAAGTTGAGTTCAGATTGGTGGGTTCATGTTTTGCCCCGAGTGGCACTAGGGGAATCCTTCTACCTCCCACCTCCCAAAGCCTCAGTTTCCTCACCTGTAGAATGGAAATAATTGCAGCAGTCTGCTGATACAAGTCAGGCACTGAGTCAGTGCTAATAAATCAAAACTGTTCTCCTGCTCAACACTGTGCATCTCAAAGCACTGATCTGTCACACTGGGCACCTTCGCACTGAGGTTCAAAGGAGTAGAAAACAGCCCCGGTCCAGGAGTTCAACTCAGGAACTGATTAACTCCAGCCACCTCTGGCATCCAGCCTTCTAAGGCACTACAGTGGGGGTAGACAGAAATAATGGTCCCCAGCTGGAGAACCCTGGGGACCACAGGGCAATCCCCTGACACACAGAGGATGGAGCTCTCTGGAGGCCAGTCAGCCTGTGGGTGCAGGGGAAGGGACTGAACTGGGTCTCCAGGCCACTTCTTCTCTGGGACTTTGACAGCCAGAGAAGCCTCATTGTAGCCCTGCTGCCTGCTGCCCCACAGCACCCAGGCCTTCTGCATGGAGATCTGACCAGCAGACACAGGGAAGTGGAAGGTTGCCAAGCGCAGGCTCGGGCTGGGCAGATCTCTTCACTACAAACAGCAGCCACAGGCCCTCAGGTTAGAGGTGGTCCCTAGGCAAGATCCTACACCCGCTTCTGACCCCTCAAATGGAGGATCACAAACTGGCCTGAGACAGGTCAGCCCACACCTTGTACCATTGGTCTCCTTCTCAGCAGATCAGTGTCAAGAACGCCTCTTGCAACAACTCTCCGAATAATTGTCCACTGCCCTTAATTTCTCAGCATCTGCCCCCACGAAGGGACTGCATCTAAATGTCATTTCCAGGCTGGTGCCCCACGGCCAAAGGACACAGGAAGGGCACAGCGGGAGGGCCTTCAGTAGCTCCCTCTCTCCACTCTGCATTGACTACCTTCTCTTGGGAACTGCCCTTGACTGTCTGTCAAGAATGTCTTAAGGAAAAGAGTTTCCAAAACTAATAAACAGATGGGTCTCCAGAAGGAAAATGTGCTAGACTAAGAGAATCATCAAGTCTTTTTCACCTTTCTGAGCCTCAGTTTCCCCTTCTAAATATAGGCTGATTCCCAAAGAAGTGGTATGTCTGTAAGGTGAGCAGTAACACCAGGAAGGCACACACTCCCTGGAATAATCTAACCACCTAAAACCAAAAGGGCAGCCTCTGGCCGAGATAGAGCTTAGAAGGCAAGAAGGGATAGGTTAGAGGAATTGAGAGCATGAGAATCACAGGGAGGAAGTGGGAAGGGTGAGGTTACCATGTAAGTATGGTAGTTAGTGTCATAAAATAAAATGTATATGAATGGTTAAATGAAAAACCAGTTGGTTTTTGAAAGTTTTATAAACTTTCAAATCGAAGTCAAACAAGAACGGAGACACCAATTGAAACAACTTAGGAGACAACTCAAGATGAGGCTCCGATAAGCCAAAGAAGGCAATCTTAGCATTGGTAACAGCGTAATGAGTCAAAATCAGCTCATAGCTGACCCTCCACTGGGTTCCATGTGAGGAGTGAGGGGATGAAGACAGCCAATCTTCCTCCCATGGAGCAGCTAGTGGATTCAAACAGCTGGAGAGGCTCAGCCTTTAGCTTAGCAGCACACCTCCCTACAGAAGTACCACAAAAAATGGGATGAGGGAGCGATTCTTGTAGAGTGGGTGTGGAGATTAAATGAGATAATCAAAGATTAAACAAGATAAAATGCCAGGGGTTGGTTCAGTTAAACGGGTGGGGAAATGAACAGTCCCTGGATGATGGGAGGAGCTGGGAACACCCCAGGGCAAGGAAGGGGTCTTTTCTGTGATGTCCTCTATGATGCCCATCTGTACTGACTGATTTGGCCACATCGGGTCGCTCTGGTTGCCCCTGGAAGAAACTATGACCCAGGAAACTGGAGCCAGCCTATGGACTCTTGATCCTGGGTCAGTGTGGGAGGGAGGGGCATGGTGCTCACTCTGTGTTCTCCCCTCTTATCCCCTCTCCCTGCCCCAACTCTCCCCTCTGGTCAGCCATTGGCACTGGCCGTGCCCCTGTACCCTGCATGCTATTCATCTCTCCTGTTCTTGGAGCCAGCCCAACCTGGTTCTAGTCCAGAGCCTGCCCTCTCTGAGTGGATAAAAGGCAGCAAGGAAGGACAGGACCCTAGTGCACTCATTCTTAACTCAGATCACAGGGTGACTTTGGGTAGCCTGCTCTGCTATCTTAGGTGGGGAGGCCTCACCTGGGAAATGAAAGGTGAACAGTGACATCTGCAGACCTTGTAGCTCTGACATTTCTGAGTGCATCATTCTGAAGGAAGAGCCTGAGGCTCTGTTCAAGCTCTGCCTTCCCCTACTGAAGAACAGAAGCTTAAAACCATTCTACTGAGTGGCCTACCTCCCTCGTCTGCCCACGTCCCTCTCATCACCTGTCCCTGTGTGGTGGTGTATGACCACCTCCACCAGCCCCAGATGTTCTCTGGTCACCCAGCAAGTCTGGCTGCTGGTCTCCTATCACAAACTCCATCATGTGTTTTCCAAACACAACATGCCTTTGTGTGTGCTGCATCCTTGCCCAAATGCCTTCTTGATCTTGAGTCTTTATGAACTCCTGTTCTTCCCTCAAAACCCAGCCCAAAGACCACCTTCTCCAGGAAGCCCTCTGTGCCCCCTTCACAGACAGCCAGTCTTGGGCCCTCTGGCTCCTTTGCTCCACAGACTTCTACTGATGTGTAAGAGATGCTGAAGGAACAAAGGCAGGTGGGTGGGTGGGAGAAGTGAGGCCCTAGGAGGGTGCCCCCCCCCAGAAGTGGCTGAACAAGTAACTGAGGAATACTCCCCATCTAGAAGCCTGTGGGCAGTGAAGATACACAGAGCCTTTTTTATTACAAAATATCTTTTATTGATAAAATAGCTCAGACTTTTAAAAAACACCTGCATGCCACAATAAGAGGGCCATGGCAGCAATACAAGGAGTCCCACAAGGCACACACGCAGCTGGGTGGAGCAGATACCACCGTTCAGCCGCTCTCTGCACCCAGCCTCACCTCAGAGCAATGCCCTGGTCTCTGTACCCACGGTAACTCTTCTCTCCAGGGGGGATTCTCTGTGGCCCCTCATGTCCCCTACAAATGTGTTCAGGCCCCTCAGGTCCCACAGCCCCTATGCTGCTCCATGTTGGGCCCAAGCTAATGTGTCCAATGGCCACATGTTGCTTAGCCCAGAAGCTGGGTACTCCTTAGAAAGACTGAGACACATTCTTCGCACGTTCTCAAGGCTCAAAGTTCCAAACATCAGGTTCTGCAGTTGCAGGGAATCAGAAGTCCCTGTAGCCCCACCAGTAAGTGGGGCAGTGGGGCTGAGTCCAAGATGATCCTCTGGCATCACCCAGGTGAGCTTAGGTGTGTTTCACCTAGAATCATCTGGGGCGTGGAGACCAAGCCCAGGAGTCCACGGGCCCTAGCTTACCTGTTCCAGCCCCAATCCCCTGCCTGGGACTCTGCGTCCCACCACACAGCTCCTCTCACACTGTCCCCATAGCATGGGTATTTTTAGCTGTCTTGGAAAAACAATTTGCCTGCCTGATGATAAAAGACTTCTCCTCCATGGGGGCCTCAAGCCACTGAAAACCATCTCAGTGTTGAAGGGGAAACGTTGAGAGGCTGTCATGCAGGGGGGGAAAAAAACCAAAACACCACAAACCTCTATATAGGCACAAGAACACATTCGCAAAGAAAACCCTTACCTCTGCAGTCACACCTTGCTTCCGTTTGGGGTAGGAATTCGCACACCCCAGGCACAGAACAAAAGTCTGCAGGAAGACAAGTGGTGCTAAGGGAGAGAAGGGGGATTTTTATATCACCAGATAATCACATTTGTTCCTTCTCTTGTGCATACCCCCATGGAGCTCAAAGCTTTCTGAAAAGCCTTTCATCTTCTTGTGGTAAGTAGGCGGCAAGCTACTGTTGCCCTGGTTTGTGCAGGGGGTGAATGCCAATGATCAGGGATCTCCCATGGAGGCCAAGGCCAGCCTTCTGGATCACCCCACTGAGGTGGCATCCACATGGTCACCCTCCTGCCAGGGTTAAACAGGCAAGGAAACCAGTCCACCACTCTAGCCTTTAAAGGAGTCACAGATCCAAAACCTGGGAGCAGAGGGGAAGAGAGCCAGAGAAAATGACAACCCAAAAATGTCCTCAGGTCCCATGCTGGATGACAACTCCAGATCCCCAACATGGAGGGCAGACTCCCCTCTTCCTTCACAGCAGGCCCTTCTGGGAAGAGTGGAAGGTGGGTTTCCTGTTCTTGGGGAGAAGATGGGAAAAAAACAAGACCACCACACACACCTGAACTGTTGGGGACAAGGTCTTTGAGAAAGGGAGACCCGTGCACTGGCTGCAGGGGCCTCCTCTGCTGCAGCCTGATCTCAGCTACACTCAGCACACTCCATGCCTGCTCAGCCTGCCTTTGCTACTGCCCAGGCTGAGAGGAGGAACTTCAAATGGGCTCCTGTGAACAGCATCCTGCCTTTACCCCTCCCAGAGGACCCCAAAACGGGCCCTTCAGGGCCAGCACTGGAACCAGAAAGCCCCAGCAGGGCACAAGTAAGGTGGCCATGGTGCCACCCGGCATCCAGCCTTGCCAGCAGCAGGCAGGTGGGCTCACCATGCAGTCTGGGCCCACTGGCGGCACAGGATCCTCTGGAAGGCACGGCGGAAGTCTTGGTTGAAGATTGTGTAGATGACAGGGTTCAGTGAGCTGTTGCAGTAGCCAATCCAAAAGAAGAACTGGAAGAGGCCATGGGGCACCTTGCAGTGCTGGGGGCAGATGGCACCCAGGCTGTAGCTGAAGAAGAAGGGGAACCAGCAAAGCACGAAGACACCGATGACCACAGCCAAGACGAAAGTGAACCTCTTCTCCCGTGTCAGCTGTGCCCGCCGTCGCCACCACTGCCCATGAGCAGTGCCGACGCCCCTGCCTAAAAGCACCTGGCCACGTAAAGTAGCCAGGACGCGAGAGCCCTGGGGTGGCTGCAGGGAGGGATTGCAAGCCGAGGCAGGGGAGGCTGGCACAGCCTCAAGTCCACACTCTTCGTCCTCTTCAGCTTCTTCCTCTGGGGATGTCCCACAGACACCCTCCTTCTGGCCCTGGCCTGAGTTGGGTAGGGCAGGCCAGCTGGGTGGCAATGCTGGGGAGACCAGATCTTCTGGAGTCTCCCTTTCCCCAGTGGGCTTAGAATGCCCATTGGCCTCCCCAGTGACAGCCAGAGGGGTGGGCAGGGCAGGTGGCCTGGCGGAGACTGAAGTCCCAGCAGTGGGGTGGGGGTGGGGCTGCTTGGACTCACCCTCCCTGGGGGCCCCCTTGGCTCTGGGCCCTCTGCGGCTGCGTTTGGCGATCAGATAGATGCGCAAGTAGACGAGGATCATGATGAGACAGGGAACGAAGAAGGAGCCGATGCTGGAGGATAGAATGTACCAGGCTTCCTGATTGAGCTTGCACTGGGGGCGCCCGCGGGGTTGGGGGTCCTGGTCACCCTTGTAAATGAGGGGAGGCAGCGAGATGGCAGCAGCAATGAGCCACACCGTTAAGATGATGCACTTGATGCGGCGCGGGGTGCGCTTGGAGTTGTACTCGAGCGCACGGCTCACGGCCCAGTAGCGGTCCAGGCTGATGGCACAGAGGTGCACGATGGATGAGGTGCAGAAAAGCACGTCCAGCGCCAGGTACACTTCGCACCACGTGTGCCGGAAGTACCAGTAGCCCAGCAGCTCGTTGGCCAGCGAGAAGGGGATGATGAGCGTGGCCACCAGGATGTCAGCAGCGGCCAGCGACACCAGGAACAGGTTCTGCGGGGCACGAAGAGAGCGGCTGGTCAGCACGGCCAAGATGACCAGCGCGTTGCCGAAGATGGTAAAGAGGATGAGGAAGGTGATGACGGCTGCGATGGCTGCTGTGGCCTGCACAGAATAAGGCTCCTGGTGGTCCATGGCGGGGCTGCACGCGCCCAAAGGGCCCCACACACACACCCAGCGCACGCCCTGCTGGCCAGAGCGCTGTCCGGTTCTGCTAGACGAGGGGACCGCCCCTCGGGAGCTGCTGCCAGAGCCCCATGGCCAGGCCAGGCTCAGCCACCACCCTCCTACATCCTCCTCCACGAGCGCCTGGCGTCCCTGTTGTCCTTCCGGGAGAAGTTTAGCAAGTTGCCTTGGCGTCCCTGCTCTGCAGGGGGCCGGGGCAAAGTAGCGCCCTTCCACCCCTGGACTGCGGGAAGCGTGCGGGCAGGTGCCGGAGGAGCCAGGTGGGGGCGCCCGCCGCAGGTCTCCCAGGAGCTGCGGCCTCCGGCTCGTCGGCTTGTCGGCTTGTCTGGGAGTTGCCTACAGGCAGCGCGGCCGCCGCGTGGGGCGGAGGGCGCGCGGGGCGGGCAGAGGGAGGAGACAAAAGCGGGAGCATGCGGGGCGGGTGGCGGACGCCGGGTGCGTGGCTGTATACCTCTCAGGGCCGGCAGGGGGAGGAGACAGGAGGTGGGAGTCTCGGAAGGCGGCGTGCGGGGCAGGCGGCTGGTGCAGGGTACAGGGCTGTGCGCCCCGCGGAGCGGCGGCCTGCGGAATGCAGCCTTCACTCCTGCCTGTGCCGTTGCTCTCCACCCGGGTGCGCCACAGGAGGTTAGGGAGCCAGGCAGGCGTTTGGGGTGTCCAGGACTCGAGGAAGGAAGCTTGCAGAAATGGAACAGTCAGGACGCTGGAGCCGGCGCATCCGTGGTCACAGAGGGAGCACTCTCCTGCGGACTGGACAGCGCCTGAGCCCGAGGTGAGAGTTCCGCCAAGTTCCCGAGGAGGCGGAAGGTGAGCGGGTGGAAGAAGATTGGTGAGTGTGTGCGAGTGCGAAGACACAATAAAGAGCAGCTCGCGGCCGGCAGTGGAGAAGCTGGCAGAGGAGACTGGACAGAATGTCCCAAACCCTTCTCCAAGTCCTTTGCGCGAACTCTGTCCTACCTGCCGCGCCGGTGGAGACACATCGCTGAGCAGCGAGCGCCCCCTGCGAGCCATAATAAGCGCAGCTGTCCGAGAACCCGCGTCCCCTCAAGGAAGCTTGCAAAGGCGCCCACCCTGGGGAAAAAAGTGAGGGATCAGATCCTGACCTTTGTTGTCCCATCTGGCTGCTCGTTCACCTGTTGCCTCACCATTTGGGGTGGCCCCGGGACCCTCAGCACTCAGCTCAGAATCTGACCTAGAACCGCCTGATGACACAGCTGCACATTTAGCTGTGACCCGGACTTGGCCCTGACCCGAGAGACTCTCAGCTTTCATATAACTCCTGCAGCTGCCTCAGTTTCCATTAAGAGCAAAATAAGTAAGAGGAAAAGTGGCTTGGACTCAAATCACAGCAGTAGCTAGACTCAGTGAAGGCTTGTATCTTTTGGCAAACAGCACTATGCTTTAGCCTTTTGACTACTAGGAGGAAGGAGGGCCTTGCCCAGATGCAGAGCAAGAACGACTGAGGGCCAAGGTTGGGGTGTGTTTTTGACAGAAGAGAGTAAGGAGACACTGCCCTTGGCTTCCCTGGGGGCTGAGTTGACATTCCTCCAGCCAGGTCTTAATCTTCCATGTGCATACCACTCACCTCTTTGGGGTGCCAGAGGTAAGAGGAGTTGGGACAAAAAGACATTTTGGGCTCCACTTCACCCCACCTGGTCAGCTGGGCTCCTGCACCCCCTCAGGCACATTCGCTGTCCCTGTGGTCACACCTGAGCAACCTCTGTGGCACCTTTTCTCAGAACTTGACCCTTACTGCTGTAAGACCAGCCTGCAGACATGTTTCATATTTATAGCCGGTAACTCTGTGTGTACAATAAGCATCAGTCCAGGCTTGAATAAGCATATTCCCTGGACCTTTGCTCCTGCCTGCTCAACCACCACAGAGCAGATGGTATGACCTCTCAGCAGCCATAAGGGCTCATCCCTATCCAGGCTCAGATGGGCAGTACCCAGGACCCCACATTTCTCCTTGGACCCAAGCTATCCCTGCCATCCTGCCAGATCACACAAGTCTGTTAGGTGTTAAATGCTGAGGGTGAAGGAAGGTACCATCTAGGTCCAGAAGAGAGAGTAGCCCGCCTCTAGTCCCTCCAGGCCTCAACCATGAGCTAACCACTCCAGTGGCAGTCTGGATGCCTCCTGCCCACTCTGTGTCCTGGGCCTAAGATTATGTCACCTGACTGGAGAGGCCCAGTAGCCCCTTCCAGGAAGAAAGGTGGAGAGGTGGCCTTTGGAGCCTGCAAAATAGCTACGTTAGCAAGTTCCTGCTTGTCCTGTTACTCATTGATCCACAGCACAAAGAGTTTGGGCTCCCTGGGGCAAAAGATGGGCACTAGGATGGAACAAGAATTAAATTGAAATACCACAGTTGAGAAACAGGCTAAGCTTGGCCGTGTTCCTGCAGCGCTGCCCATCTAGCATACACAGGTGTGTAGATGAGCAGGGAGTCGTGAGGAGGTTGATTTGACTTGGTCCCATGTACGAGCTACAGCTGAGTGAGGAGACACCCCCCCAGGTCTGGAGCACTGGAGAAGTGTGGACTCCTGAGCTTGCAGCTGCTGCCCATTTGAACCTGGACACGATGGCTGAGAATGAGTTTCCCAGAAGCTAACCAGATGAAGAACAAAAGGGCCATGCTGTGAGTTAGGGTAGATCGCTGCAACCCGATGTCTTGCTTTGCACTGGCCTTTGCTTGTGGACGCAGATGCTCAAAGTTTCCAAGTTGAATAGAGGATCCTTCAATTAAAGGGACATGTTTGTTCCCTCAGACTGGTTTGATAGGGATGGGCAACTCAGCAACTGGCTATTTAACAGGGGCAAGAGGCAGGGGGGAAAATTGTAAGGGAGGAAAATTCCCACAATATAAATGAACAAAATATAAATGACAGTCTGTGTGGAACATAATGTACATGCATGAAACACGTTGTATATGAATGATAACAAAAGAATTAGATTGAGAATTCTCTTGACAAGACTGGCAGACACGATGATTGGGGCTTGAGCCTATGAGGATGATGAGGGGTGAGGTGTTGGTCCACTGTGCACATATTGGGCATGTGTAATTGCTGTTATGTGCCATCTAGTCACCTGTGACTCAGCAACCCATGTGTACAGCAGCTCTGAATCCTGCCCTCTCCTAGGCCATTCTCACTGATTCCAACACATCTGCCCCTACTGCCTCAGTTACTGTGTCAGTCCATCTCATCCAGGGTCTTCCAATCCTGCATTGTCCCTGCACCCTTCCGAGCATGATGTCCTTCTCCAAGAACTGGTCTCTCCTGGTCACATGTTCAAAGTATGTGAGACAGAGCTTCAAAAATCCTAGCCTCTAAGGAGAAACTTGATTTCACTCTCTCAAAGACAGATTTGCTTGACAGTCCATGGTATGTTCAACTCTTCTGTTTGGCGTATGTTATTTATATTGGGCATATGTTGTGCGTAGGGTCACTATGAGTCATACTGGACTTTACCTAACAACCACCACCATATTCAAGTGATGGCACAGGGCGTATCCCCAAGCAGCCCTAGGTCTTCTCCTGTGACCTTTAAGGAATGCAAGTGCTTTGCAGAAATGGAGGCTAGGGTTTGCCCAGACTTCTCCCTACTTGGCCCTCCTTCCTTGCAAGTCCCCATTGAGGTGTGCTCCCCAGAGCCTTCTCCAAAGGTACACTACAGGTTCACTGGTGCCAGAGCCTGCTGGCACCTCTGCCAGCCCAGTTCAGTCTAGACGGGGCCATCAATGACACAGTCCACTCACTGTCCAGTAGCCCTGGGAAGTGCATACCCACAGCTGGACCTGCTCAGCAGCTTTGGCATTCTTGGGATTTGGCTTTGCTCTCATGTTGCCCCACTTCCTATCCACTCTGCTCCCAGTCAAGCATACATGGGTGCCCCTGCCCTCTGATTACATAATTTTATTCCCACTTCTTTCCTCAGTGCTTCCTCTCCTCCCTCTCTCCCCCTGACATGCACACCCTCAGGCACCACTTGATCATGCCAGGCCTTACTTTAGCTCTTCCCGAACCAAATCTGTCCTTCCACTGTCATCCCTATTCACCAGGGCTGGCAGGGAAGCCCTTCTGCAGACCAGCCACTGACAGAGTTTCCTGAAGGACTCCAAGCCTCGTGAGGGGTGAGTGGGAAGCAGTTCAGGAAGAGACAGAACATAGTTAGGCAGTGCCCCATCACACTGGAGTGTTCCCTGGACATGCCTGAGTCCCGACATCTGAGCCTTCCAGGGGATGTTTCTCCTGTGCCAGGTGGACCTTTACCCACTCTTCAAGGTCCACTCACCAGCCTCTCTCCTCTGGGCCAAAGGAGGGCCCTGCTGTCCATGCCACTTTAGTCCTCGGCACCCAGTCCCGAGGGGTAACTTTGCTCCCTCCTTCCATGTGGACATCTCCCTTTGCCCACAGTACTAGACCCACATTTGGTGAGGGGTGAAGGGACAATAACAGCAAGCAGCAGTGTGCGGTATGCATCTAATCCACATGGAGATCCACAGGTGGTGTCTGCTAACAGAGGCAATGGGGGAAAGGTGGCTTAATATTTAAGGGATGCTCTCTCTTCCTTGGTTCCAGCAGTCCAGAGACACGGGACATATTGCACAGGAAAGTCCACAGTCCTTTCCAAGTTACTAAGGAGTAATGATGTCAGTTTGAAGTCTAAGATGTGCATGAATCAGGCCATGGTCTTTTCAGTTACTTGCTATACACCTGAGAGTTGGAAAATAAATAAGGATGGCAGAAGAACTGATGTCTCTGAGAGTAATGAATATTTCCTGGTCTGCCAAAAGAACAAATGTCTTGGGGGAAAGTTCAGAGTGCTCCTTGGAGGCAAGGATGGCAAAGCTTCGTCTTATATACTCTGGATATATTGCTACAAAAGTCTGTTCTTTAAGATGGGCATCGTGCTTGGAAAGGTAGAAGGTCAGTGGAAGGGAGGAAGACTGTCAACAAGATGGATTGACACAGTGACTGCATCATTGGGCTCAAATGTGTTAGGAATGGTAAGGATGGTGTGAGATAGCATACACAGGATTCAGATCTGTTCTTAGGATTACTCAGTCATCCTCAACACGATGGCACCTAATGATCAGGAGGAAAATGCCCATTTTTCTCCCATGGAGCTGCTGGTGTGTTCAAATCTAACAGCACAACTCCCTGTGGGTGCACCATCCTAGCTCCCTAATGTCTACTGAATGAGTACATAAGTATGTGGTTGGAAGCAGGGAGGTGAGCAGGTCACAGAACCTGTGGAGATGCTAGTGCCCAGACAAGGGCTGTTCCCCACTCCCCACCACCATCTGCAGCCTGGGGCTCAGAGGACTGAGCCAGGACTGGACCACTGGGTACTGTGAGGGCAGCTTGTACAACTACCTTAGACCAGAACGGTGCTGAGGACCTGGCCCTGAACTGACAGGTGGCTTCCTAAGGTGGGGTTTCAGGGTCTCTTCATGACAACAAAAGCCTTGTCTGTGACCACTCAGGAATCTACTTGCCCTTTGTGACCCCTGAACCTGCCTGCCCCGCCACACCTTCTAGAGAGCCCAGCTTCAGAGACCAGGATACTCATTCAGACCTCACCCAAAAGCCAGGAAGGTCTTAGATGAGGCCAAGGAACCCCAGCCAGGTGCCAGAGGCTTGGCTCAACCACTTGGGCCGGGGTAGGGGCAGATATGCTGTGAGGCTAGCACATTTCTGCCTCCATCCTATCCAACATCTCTAAAAATCTTCTAGAAGGGTCAGTGTTGCAGAAGCATGACCAGAGCCCACTACCCACCCCAAACTCATGCTCCAACACACTATAACTTGCAATGGAGGGACAGTGCACCCCTCTAATTCTTACACTTGGGTCCCTGTTTAGCTTCAGAAATCTGACTTAAGACTGAAACTCGAAATCAACTGAAGGCAGAGGTTGCAGGACCCTTTGGGTGAATCCTCATGCCCTGATCCGGCTCCAGAGACCAGCCCAGGAGGTCGGCAAAGGCTCAGCACCCAACACCTAGACAGGCCTGAGCCCAGAAGGTTGGTGAAGGCTCCTGACACCTAGAAGGCCCAAACCCAGGAGGTTGGAAACACCTAGGCAGATCCAAGCCAGGAAGGTTGGCGAAGGCTCAGCTTCCTAGGCAGGGTCGAGCCCAAGATTTGGAAGACCCAGCTCCCCCCAACACCTAGGCAGGCCCGAGCCCAGGAAGGCAAAGGCTCAGCCTCCAACACCTAAGCAATTCTGAACCTGAAAGGTTAGCAAAGCTCTCCCAGGCTCAGGCCTTTGATGCCGAGGCAGGCCCAGGTACGGCCTCATTGCTTCTCTGGTCATGGGACTTTGGGCAGGTCTGTTTGCTTCTGTTTCCTCTTGGAAGGTGGCTACAGTCACCTTGGCCTCCACCCCAAAAGGCAGCCACAAAGGTTAAAAGTGAAAGGTAGTCAGTACAGCACCTGGCATACAGCAAGTTCTCCATTTTTTAATTTTTGTGCCAAAATAACTGACTCTTGCCTCCACCAGGAAAGACCCTGGGCCCTGCTCTGCTTCCACCCTAACAGCTGCCTTGAGCTTCTGAAAGCCTAAGAATCATGTGCTAGGGTAGGTGGAGAAGGGCGTTCTGCCCAAGCCCACTCACTAACATCTGTTTAGACTTCATTTTTAGGCCAGCCCTTCAGGGAGGCCAGGAGCTGAAGAAAAGTAGGCAATGTGCAGGGAGGGATAGGGCTCCATCTTCTCCTAGCCCCTTCCTTCCACCTTCAGAACCTGCTTCTGCCAAGCAGGGCCAAGAACCTTGAAAACAACCATCTGGAGTAGAGACAAGTTTCAAGTCCCCCGTTCAGGGGCAGACTTGGTCAGACCGTGCTGCTTCCTCTCCCCCATTGTCAGTTCCGTTCCCCCCACAGGCTCTCTGTTCTGCAGGAGAGCAAGTTGGACTGTGAGAGTCCCCTTGGAAAAGCAGGCACATCCCGCCCAGATCTCAAAGGCAGGAAGCTGTGCCCAGCGTTCCAGCCATAGCCACTCAAGGCTGACCCTGTGGGAGATGTGGGTCTTAGTCCACACCGAAGCTCGGGACACAGACATAAGCTTCCAGGGGCTTTGAGAACTAGAATCCACCTCTCCCCAGACCTTCTGTCCCTGGAGATCTGGAAGATACCACCTCCAGTTTCCAACATCTTCCAGGACTGGGGCAGAAGTCAGTGTGGGCAGAGCCAGTCATGCCATCAATAGGTTTTCCTTTCCTTCAAACAGACCCAGAGAGTGTGTTTGTCTCCAGGAACGTTTGGGGACATGAGGTAGTCTCTGTGCCTGAGAGAAGGTGACTAGAAAGGGGCAGAGAGATAGGAGGGTGTGGCCAGAGGGGCCAAGGATTGAGTATCAACTGCTCTAGGTGGAAGAGTCCTTCCCTACCTAGGGACAAAAGCTACAGATCTTCTCTCCAGGTGTCTCCCTAAAATGATCCCTAGATGAATGGCCTCCTGGCAGATCTGGGCTCCCCAAGGCAGCCTGAGCAGGTACCAGCTGCCTTTCTGCTTCTAGTCGGGGCTGGAGGTATGGGAGGCTCCTGGGCCACCCAAGGCCACCCTAAAACAAGGCCAGGAGCATCTATTCCAGGCCTTGAACTTGGGGTGGAAGCAGAGACCTGTGGCTGCCTTGCCAAAACATCCACACTGAACTTCTGAGTAGAAGGTGAGTCCTCTCCAGATTCCACAGCAATGTTCTGGCCTCCAGTCTCAAGAACACGGGAGTAGACCTTCCTGGGCTCCAACAATGCCTGTAGAAGTCTCTGCAAGTATATCCTGGAGGCAGGAGTGGGGCGGTCACCACTGCTGTGAGTCTGGACACCTGGAGAGAGATAAGAGGTCAAGTCATAGAATCATAGAAGCTGTGTGGCCTCCTCGGTGAGCATCCTTCAACCTCAGACCATTAGTGTTCAATCTGCAGGCAACACTTACAGCCTATAATGGACCCAGCTATCCAACCCTTGCCAACCCCCTGCCTAAAACCCTCCAGACCCAAATTCTCACACTCACTCCCACAAGGCCTCCAAAGTTACCCAGACAGCCGGCCTCAGCTCTCTCATGGCCTTCCCACTTGCCCTAGGATGTGCTCTTGGTGAATTCAACTGACTGACAGCATCATGGGTCTTTACTTCCAAACCAAACCCTTTCTTGGGCCACTTTGAACAGCAACAACTCCGCTTTCCATGCCACAGTATATGATATTTCCTTCTAGAAGCTTTTCTGAACTTCTGGTCATATCCCAACGCAGGGCGTGGTGCACACATGACCCTTGAGCGCTCTCAGGTCTGCACCCCAGGAAGTGGATTGGTCCTCCACATTCTGCCCTGCCACTCCCAGCTCTTGGCTGCTGCCCACTGCTTTATAAATACATTCCTTTTAAATCCACAATTTTCTAGCCTTGCTGCCTCACTCTTGTGGTGCTGTCCCTTCCCTTCCACTCAAGCCTGTTGCATCAAAGGCTTCACCAAGGCGAGCTCTGGTGGCCTAGCGGCAAGAAGCTGCAACTGCAATCTCAGAGGTGCACGGTTCGAATCCACCAGATGCTCAGCTGGAGAAGGAGGAAAAATCACCTCCTGTACTAGTCAGATCTGATTTGACGGTACACACAAAAAATAAATAAAATAAATTAAAAAAAAAAAGGCTTCACCAGTCCCTCAGTGAATAATGACCATTTCCACGCTTGCATACTTCAGCCAGAGACTTTTCTGCCCACCCCACCCCATGTCTCCCATTGGCCTCACAGTCCACTCTTTCCTCCCAGACCAGAAACTCCCACCACTAAAATCCATTTCCAGCATCCACTCTGGCAGTGGCCTCCTCTACTCCCAGCTCACTTAAAAAGCATAATCTTTCAATGCTCAGGAGCACCACTACAAACCTCAGTGTGTCATCACCTCGTTTCCTCATTTCAGGGCATCTCTCTTCACCGAGTTTACACTCCACAGCCCATGTAAGTGTTCCTCAGCAGACATCAACAACCACATTCTGTCACATCTGCTCACAAAGCCTCAGTCCTGGCTGGGTAACCAGCCAGTGCATACCATACCACCACCAAGCAGCTGGGGCCCCAACTGTCCTGGCAGATTCCTTCTGCAATCAGCCTTCCCATATCTTTTCTTCTTTGCCACATCTCACCCACCTAAGCATCTCACCTCACCTTCTTATTAGATCAAGGCCTTCAAACAGAAATCCCCTCACCTGCACATCCAAGATCCACATGCAAACCAAGAAGACATTAGTCATCTTCCCTCAGCCCCCACCAGCGGCAGCCTCTCAAACATCCTGGACGTTCTTGGTTCTCCCTCCATGTCCCTTCTCAAGTGGATCATCAATTTAGCATCACTATGCTTCCATCTCAGTAAATCCTTGACCCACAGCCCTGTCCAGCCACTTCCCCATACTCTTCCTCATGACAGATCTCCAGGAAATTACAAAACTCATATCACATCGTCTCTACTTTTTAACTTAAAAAAGTAGTGTCTGATCAAAACAACTATGAGATATCATCTCACCCCAATCAGAATAGCCAAATTTAACAGAACAGCAAGCAACAAATGCTGGCAAGATTGTAGAGAAATTAGAACCCTTATTCACTGTTTGGGGGAGTGTAAAATTGTGCAACCACTGTGGAAGGCGGTATGGCGCTTTCTCAAAAAGTTGCAAATAGAAATGCCATTTGACCCAGCAATTCCACTACTGGGAATATATCCCAAAGAGACCATAACTGACATCCAAGCAGAAGTATGCACACCCATGTTTACCGTGGCTTTGTTCACAATAGCAAGGACTTGGAAACAACCCAAGTGCCCATCAACAAACGAATGGATAGAGAAGCTGTGGTATATTCACACAATGGAATACTACACTGCATTGAAAAACAAGGAACTCATGCAGTATTATTCAAAATGGGTGAGCCTGGAAGACATTATGCTGAGTGAAAGATCTGTCACAAAAGGACAGATACCACATGGTACTACTGTTGTAGAATGGAACTGACATCAGGGTTGGGGTAAGACTTAGAAAAACTGGATAAATTATGTATACTGCATTGAAACAGATGAGGGAGAGAACAATTTAAAAGTGATATAGGATAGGGCATTATGGTTATGCACAGTGATCCAATAGAGTGTGGAAACTATAGAACAATATCGATTTCACACGCAAGCAAGATGCTACTGAAGATTATCCAAAAACGACTGGAACAGCACCTCAGCAGATAACTGCCAGAAGTCCAGGCTGGGTTTAGAAGAGGTCGTGGTACTAGGGATATTGTAGCTGATGTTAGATGGATCTTAGCTAAAAGCAGGGAATACCAGAAGAATGTCTATCTGTGCTTCATTGATTACACAAAGGCGTTTGACTGTGTGGATCATAACAAACTGTGGCTGACTCTGAGAAGAATGGGAATCCCAGAACACTTGATCGTTCTAATGTGGAACATATACTTGGACCAACAGGCAGTCGTCAGAACAGAGCAAGGAAACACTGCATGGTTCAAAATTGGGAAAGGCATACGCCAAGGATGTGTCCTATCTCCATACCTTTTCAACCTGGATGCAAAACAGATTATCCGAGAGGCTGGGCTCTATAAGTGTGGCATCAGGATTGGTGGAAGATCTATCAACAATCTGTGTTATGCAGATGACACAACCCTGCTTGCTGAAACTGAGGAGGACCTCCAATGCTTGCTGCAGAGTGTCACGGACTGCAGCCTTCAATATGGATTGAAGCTCAATGTCAAGAAGACAAAGATTCTCACCACTGGGCCAATTGGCAGCATCAGGATGGATGGTGAAGAGATTGAGATTGTTAACAACTTAGACTGCTTGGCTCCACAGTCAACACTCTTGGCACCAGCAGCCAGGAAATCAAAAAACGTATTGCAATGGGAAAGTCTGCTGTTAGGGACCTTTCCAGGGTACTGAAGAGCAATAGTGTCACTCTGGAGACCAAGATGCGTCTGATACAGGCTATGGTCTTTGCAATCGCTTGCTATGCATCAGAGAGTTGGACAATGACTAGGGAGGACAGAAGGAGAGTGGATGCCTTTGAGCTGTGGTGCTGGAGAAGAGTATTGAATGTACCATGGACTGCCAAGAAAACAAACAGATTCATCCTGGAGAGGGTTAAACCAGGCTGCTCCTTGGAGGCAAGGATGCTGGGACTTCGTCTGATATACTTTGGACATGTAAGGAGGGAGAGAGGTCCTTGGAGAGGGACATCATGCTTGAGAGGGTGGAGGGACAGCGCAGGAGGGGAAGAACCTCTATGAGGTGGATTGATTCAGTGACTGGGATAATCGGGATGGTGTGTCAGAGGCAGTGTGATTGGCACAGGATAGAGCGGGGTTTAGGGCTGTTGTACATAGAGTCACTATGAGTCGCAAGCGACTCGACAGCACATAACAACAACAGTGGAGTGTATTCAGGGTGGAAGGGAGGGAGGATTATATACCAATAAAAAAAATTTTTTCTTTTACTTTTCAAAGAGGAGTGAACGGGGGGGTGAGGGCTGGGCAGGGAGAAAAGTGCAACATTGAATGAATTGATGAATGAATCCAAAATCTCTGTAAATGTTCATTAAAATTAATAAAAGAAAATTTTTTAAAAAGTCGTGTCTGATGCTGTGAAATCGTATATGTAAGGTAATAGTCTTTTCAAGAAATGGTGTTATATTAAAGTAATTGAACATCTAGATACAAAAAAGATTAAGTTGGATGCCCTCCTCCTTAACAAAAGTTAACCTTAGATAGATTACAGTCCTAAATGTAAGATCTAAGACTCTTAAAAACCATGAGTAAATCCTCATGACAAGTAAAGGCAATGCCTTCTCAAATACAATGCTAGTAGCACAGATGACA